CAACTGCTCCACTGAGCTCTTCTGTTCCAAAACTCTCCTCTCCCATTCCTGATTCAGATTATCTATACGGTGAAAGAACATATCCATCAAAAATACACACACATACTTTGAGCAAACACACATCCTACTGCATTGCCACAGTACTAAAGTAATACTACAAAGAATAACATTTTGATATTAAACTACAAACCAAACCCTCACCAATCTCTTGCTGGTGCACTCGTTGGTTTCGTTGCTCCTGCTCTCGGCTCTGCTCACGGATTCGCTCCAGCTCAAACTGTTGGCGTGTCTGCAGCATGGCGCTTTCCTGTGCCCATTTCTCTCGTAACATGGTCTGCAGCTCGCTGAGGGCCACTTCCTTATCTTTCTGCATGTTGGTTTGAGAAAGCTCCAGCTGAGCAGTGTGCAAGTTTGTCAAACTCAGACGCAAGGCTTCAAGCTCCAAGTTGTGCTGGCTCTGATTATAAAGAGTAAAACCAACGAACATGACTGTGGAATTGTGGTTAGGGCATAACTAAAGGAAAGCAGTTAAAATATATGGGTATGTTTAGAATGGCATATTGCTGTACTGCTATTAGGAATGCAGCACACATACTTCTTGTCAGACACAGAGGTCATAGCCAGCTGCTGAGCTCCTGTGCTAGCTGCTGTAGAGATGTAGGCAACTGCCCAAGAAAAAAAGCATTTCCATTTCCATGATGTTAATTTACATAGAGGGTAATACCATTAATTGGTGGGGGTTACACTTCAATTGGGAACACATGCAGCTCCAAGCATTGTTTTTTTTTAATTAAATTAGAATGTATCTAATATCATAATTTTAAGTAGCAAAACGTGTGAATAATTTATGTAAATATTTAAAACTGCAATGCTGCATTCCATTTCTTAGACTATTAAAAATACACACTACTCTTCAAAAGTTTGGGGTCGGTAAGATTTTTTTAAAATGTTTTTGAAAGTCTCTTATGTTCACCAAGGTAGCATTTATTTGTTCAAAAATACAATGAAAAACATAAAATTGTAAAATATTATCACAACACAATAAGATATCAGTTTTCCATTTTAATATATTTTAAAGCTTAATTTTCAGCAGCCATTACGCCGGTCTTCAGTGTCACATGATCTCGGATACATTTTTTCAGATTGTTAATTAATAGAAAACTCAAAAGAATGGGATATATTTGAAATAGAAATCTTTTGAAACATTTTAAATTACTTTCACTTTTGATCAAGTTAATGCATTCTTGTCGAGTAAAAGTATAAATTTCTTCCTTTCAGAATTTTCCTTTTGAATGCTATTATATATATTAGGGCTGCACGATTAATCGCATGCGATATTTAACGCGCATCTTGTCAGAAAGCCGGTTCTGTAATCAGCGGTAAATCTCCATCACCTGCGGGCTTTCACATTGAGCAGCATTAACTACACAGAGCCGTTGTTCACTGACGAGTTGCGTTAAACCACGTTCATATTCGCGATGCGCCTTAAATATCGCATGCGATTAATCGTGCAGCCCTAATATATAGCAGCATGTCAGCATTACATTCCGAAACATACCACAGGACCCAAATAAAAATCCTGAGATCAAACAAGTACTTGTGTTTGGAGTAGCTCAGCCTGGTGTGCAGCCTCCAGGCCGTCTTGCAGCTCCCTGGAGAGCTCATCTTTAAGTCTGCCAATTTCCTCACTATGTTGGGCAGCCAGCTGTGTCAGCTCCCTCTCATGTTCTCGTTCATAGACCTAGGACAAAGACCAGTGTATACGAATTAAGAGATTCATATGATCCATATAGATGTGTGGTCACATTGCTAGGGTAAATAAAGTTAAGTAATAGGTTGTTTAACCTGTTTAATCATGCTGATCGGTCTCTTCTGCTCATCTTCCAGACGAGCAGACTGCTCGGAAAGTTCACGCTCAAAACGTACATTCAAGTATTTAACCTGGAGGTAGGAAAAACATGAGATATCAACTGTTATGAATTTCATGCAACTCCTTTCAACCACTTAATTACACAACTTTACAATGATCTTCACTCAATGTGTCTTTTTCACTTGTTATCCTTTTAAATGGACATTCTCCCATAGTCACCGTCACAACCTGGTTCTCACCTCTTTCTGGTGTTTCTCTTCCAGAATTTTCTTCTCCTCCTCATGTTGCTTCTGTCTTTCTTCCAGATCCTGTTTGACTATGATGAGTTCTTTCATCAAGGCACTCTCCTTCTCCATGTATTCCTCTTCTGCCTTCTCTTGTGCTTCCTTGAATTCCTTGAGCTCTGCATCCTTTGATTCAATTTGGTGCTAGAGAGACAGATATGGGTTACTTGGAGGACCACATTTGTGTGTCATATACATAAAATACTCCAGTTTTTTGACATTCTGAAAAGAGTACACAAATTTATGAATTTGTTCATTCTCACTATACTTTATACTATAGCTTATGCATTAAATATGCTATATTTCAAAAAAGCAATTTAGTTTCAAACCTCAAAGTTCTTCAGTTCTGATTCAAGAACCTTCTCCATGCTCTTTGCTTGGTCCTCCAGAGCTTGGAGACATCTTTCAAGGGTAGCTTTCTCCTCTTCCATGTTGGTGAGGTTCTCTTTAAGGCACATTAGTTTAGACTCAAGGTCTGTCTTCTCTTTCTCCAAGTTCTGCAACTGTCTAACCTTCACCTCTACTTCAGCTTTGAGCTGCTGAAGCTCACTATTGGCTCGGTCCACCTGCAAGGTCCTTTGACCAAGCAGCACTGAAGTAGCTTGGTGTTTTTCCTTTTGTTGCTCCAGTTGAAGTAAAAATTCATCTCTCTTAGCTTGCAAAGAGTAAAGCTCACAAGCAATAGAGTCATGAGTTGCTTTCTGTTCATGGGCATCCTTCACTAGCTGCTCCTGACATTTGAGCTTTAGCACCAATTGGGCATTTTCCTCCCTTAGTTCCTTTAACATCTCCTCTACAGACAAAAAGATTGAGGTTTTATTGGAATCAGTGTGGTCAGGCATTAATCTTTCATTGTCCTGAAGCTGCATCTGTTTCTGGATCTGCAGGTGACTCAGTATGTTCTTGAGGCTGTCTTCTTCATGCATTTTTTGGCTTATAACTTCCTCATACTGAATTCTTTTCTCACGTTCCATCTCCAACTCCCACTTAGCTTCCTCCAGCTCCTCCGAAGCTTTGCTCCAACGCTCCCGTGCCTCCTCAACCTCTTCAGCAGAGTGCCGAACCTCCTCTTGAAGAACCTCAAGCTGTCGTTCCCGCTCTTCTAACTGCTCTGACAGGTCTCGGCACTGCTGGATCAGAAGCTCTTTAGCCAAGTCCATAGTGCCCGAGCTCTCATTCAGCTCTTCAACAACCGAGGTTGAGTTTTCCCACTGGGCATCAGTGAAGGACATTTCATCAGGTTGGGGCACTTCAATGCCATGAACAACAGACAGTTCTGGCTCAGACTTATCACCATCAGATGTGACATTGTTAGGGACATCTGAAGCATGAAATATTACCTCAGTGTCTAGCTCAAACCTGGCCGTCTCAGAAGTTTCCATCAGGCTACGTTCCTCCACACTCCCTTCAATTAATGAGCTTTCTTGAGGTCCTTCGGAGGCCAAGTAACGCTCCATAAGATCATCCTGGAAACCCCCTGCAGAGATGTCAAAACTATAGTTGTTTCTGACAGCATTTTCAGTGACTGTCTCTTCAGTGTAGTGCTCTTTGGAGACTTTGTTCCAGGGTACATCTGCACCAAAGTCTTTGGAAAAATTATGATGAGAATTAGTATGTTGACTTTGGGCCTGGTTTAGCAGCTCCTGGACGCGACGGATCTCGTCAGAGTGCTCCTTCTGCAGGCGACTAAGGGCAGCCTCATGAGCTTCGGTTAGCTGGGCTACATTCAATTCCCTTTCCTCCTCCAGAGTCTGAAGCCTGAGATCATAATTGGAAATATCGGCTTCATATTTGGAACGCATATGTTGTCCTGTCTCCTCCTCTTCGTGTAGATGATTTTGAAGCTCCTTCACAAGGTTATCTAGTCTAGCCATTTCTTGGTTCAGTTCATCTTTCTCTGCTTTATATTTCTGGGCTTGTGTTTCATTAACAGCAGCCAGATGAGCTTCCATCAGGGTCTTCTCATTCTCCAGACTCTGTACCCTCTTCTGAAATGCTTCTACTTGTACTTGAGTTCGCTGGCTGTTCTTACGTTCTTCCTCTAGCTCAGCTCTAAGGCTTTGCATTAAAGCTTCAGAGTTTGAGTCAGGACCGTTATCCAGGAACAGGGGGCTCATAATGGATAAATCTAAATCACCATGTTCGTCAAGTCTTAGATCTTTTTGATCAGCACTTCTCTGGGTAAAGGCATGTTGAAGCTTAGAGAGGGATTTTTCCATGACACACAATTTCTGTTGCAGGTCTGTGATCTCAGTTTCTTTTTGGGCCAAGAGGCACTGTTGTTCCTTGGTCATCTATAAAACAAATGGAACAAATACACATTGATAAAATAAAAGTGCATATTTTGCTTCAAATGACAAGCTTAACCGTTAAAAAGACATGTCCTAACCTGTTGCGACTCCTCCAATTGTACATGCAGCTGATTCTGAACAGCCTGGGTCAGATCCACACACCCTTGACTTTTGCTACGTAGATATTCTTTAGCCTGCAAGTATTTCATTCATTTAGACTTATTTAGTTGCAAATTGGGAACTAAGAACTAACAGGTTTTGTTCATTTGGCCATTAGGGAAACAAAGACATTTCAGACTGTCCATATTCAGAGGATTTGGGGTATTGTTAGCAGAAGTCAAAACCAGTCATAATTTTTCATGTCTAACCGAGTCCAGCATTTTTCTGTTTTGGTCTTTCCAACCCAAACATTAAACATTCTCAAGATCACAAATCTGACAATCACTACGTTATAAAGTACTCCATTTAAATTAAATAGGGTCTGTTTCAATGAATCTGTGCCGAGGACTAGAGGCAAGATTGAGAAACTTTTCTTTTTGTAATAAATGTATGAACTCTACCTGCTGTAGTTGCTGTTGTAGTGCTTGAATCTGACCAGTGAGCTGCTGTGCCTCCAGCTGCACCTGTTCTCTGCTCTGCAGCGCCACCTGCAGGTTCTTACTAAGCTGTGATATGATCTCATTCCGTTTCTCTACTGCAGCCTGTAATTGCTGTGTGAAGAATTAAGCAATTCCAACAAAATGCTTTAAGTATCTGTAAATAACATTCACAACTAAAATATTTTTAAATTGGACTCTATCCAACGAGTTACATTATACCGAATAAGCACAAACACTTTTTGACACCTAAAAATCTAGGCTGCCAGGAGCAAGAAATCATAATCCTTAAATCCATGAGTGGAATGAACACATGGAATTAGGATACATTTAACCTCATCCATTAAATTTAATTGGTTCTTCCTTTCCCTCTGCACCATCACAAGGCTTTAAAAATGAATTCTCTAAAATTCAAGCAAACCAATTATGGTAAACACTACGCTCCAGAAAGCAGAACTCTGCCTCAGGTTTCTAGATTTGTGCATAACCATGACCACAAATTAATCCATTCAAACGGACAGATGTAACCCAGTCTGGAGAGAATCTTTCTCTGTTCTATTTCAGGATAATGGCTGTATCATGAAAAAACACAGCTGCACACAGACACACACTTCAAATTTCAACTGAATCTTTCAATACAATATCATCTGAGAAAAGAGTGTTAGACATGGTCTCCAGCTGGGATTACTGCAGCTTAAAAATTATATATAAAAATCAAAATGTATATATTTATATATACACAAACATATATAAATACATAACTATTGGCAAACAAAAATAAATATTGCTAAAATGTCATTTTCTTTGGCTAATGTGCCTGTTCTGCTTCTGATCTCATGGATGGGCAGAAATGTACCAAACATGCATGGAAAAATTGCATTTGCAATGGAAAAATATAACTGCAATTGTAAGATCTGTCTTGTGTGTTCCTTAAAGGGTAAAGGTTTACCTTCAGTTGTTCTTTGCCAGTATGTGCAACTACATTCATTTCTGCAAGTTCGTCCTCTGCCTGATCAGGCAGCTCTGACTCTGCAAGAGACCCAGAAGAGGACCTCTGTTCCTGGGAATCAGTTTCATCATCCTCTCTGCTGCACTGATGGACCTCTGGAACACTGCTGTCTGTGCCATCAGGTCTGAGTGATGCCTAAACATTCATACAAACATGCATATTTTCTATAGTTACCATGACTACATTGCCCTTAGCTATGTTATGCTAACTGACCTATTTTCAGATGGGGAACACAAATATACATGCTATAGATTTGAAATGTTCTGTATTGGTGTGCACATGCTATTTGCATGCGACATTGCAGGCTTAATGTCTAAATAACATGTAAACAAGTTTTTCAATGTTCAGTTGAATTAATATTCTGACTCAAATGACTGGAAAAGGATATTGTACATTAGCGATTATAGACATTATGCTCTTTAGAAAAATGTCACATAACCAAGTATCCAAGCCCTCAAAGTCAATGAAGTGAAAGCGTAAACTGACCCACTTCTTAAAGAGGCCATATCACAAAAATGCTAATAAAAATTTGTGTGCAATATTTCGGTATATAATAACCATTTTCTACATTTCTAGAACCGTTATAAATAAAACAGTTTTAGAGATCAGGAACCTTGATACAAAACTAAACATTGTTTATCTGGCATTTAAGAAAAAAAAGCATCTATACTGCTTTCTCCTTATTGCATCACTGCGACTATTGCAGCTGACTGGTGTCAGAAAACTACAAAAGTTTTTTGCTTGATTTTGCAGTTTAGTTTCAATAAACATCACTGGGTAGCAAGTTTTTAGTTTGGAAATATTTTTCATAACTCAAGCTTCTTTATCTCAAATTAAAATTAGATTCTTCATGATATGGCCTTAAAATACAAGTTAAGTGAATTGTCTTTGTGCTCGCTTTGTATTACATCTTTAAATAAATTGTCTTCTGTAACAAAGAAACATTTTTGTCAGTTTAAGAAACACTTAAGGGCTGCATGCAAAATTCAGAAAGCCTTGTTGGCCATTAAGTAAACTGCATCCAGCAACTTTTTTGCTCATTCTCATACTGGTGCACACGTAACTACAATAAACTAGGGATGCACCGATACCACTTTTTCCAGTACTCGCCCGATACCAATACTTTTATTTTTGGTACTTGCCGATACCGATATTTTATAACAGAGGGAAAAATTTAAGGGTAAGTTCCCCTCAGACATACATTCATATAAACTCCTATACCTAAATGAATCGTGATTTGTTTAGCATCTCAACCGATTTGAATCGTCACATATTTTAATCAATTTTCAACCGGCTCGCGGTTAATCGTTACATCCCTAACGCTTAGATTAATATGTAAATATGTACTGTGATCTTTCCTAAATAAAGTAAATAACAAAAATAATAGCAGTGAGAAAACAGTGGTTAAGAAAGCATCTGATCATAGCAATGTGGATAGGTTTACACAAGCTCTGCAATTCACCAGCATCATGTCGATAGATGAGGTCATTAAAATTACACTGTTGTGACAGTTTTATCATAAAGTATACTTGAGACTACAGACTATATAGATCTGGCATGAGACTATAGTTTGAATTAATCCCTTTTCTTTGTATGATATATTGACATTACAGTAAAGAATAGCTCTTTTAACATTAATCTAAACATTGTATAAGCATTCGATACATGAGGCTCTCAGACACGCATGTAAACTCCACATTTTGATTTTCCTGGCAAAAACGTCCCGACTCCTTGAAATAAAAATCAATCTAAGGCTTTCATAAACAACCCATGAAATCGTTACAAGCTGTTCCCACATTGACAAAAAAAGTGATTAAGACATGAAAATTCTAACATATAGCCCCTTTAAAATTAAAAGCAAACCTCTGAGGGTTCCTTGTTGATCTCTCCATGACAATCGTCTGTCTGCGGCTCCTCTAGGTGGCGCTCTTGCGCTGACCGTTCATCCGTTTGGACAGTCTGGCCCTTCCTCTTCGGCGTCTTTTTCTGCGTGCTCGAACTTTCGCTTTTTGCCCGGCGCCGTCTAAAGTGAGCAAGCTGCGCCAGAGGTTGAGAGACAGGTAGAGGGAAACGTACATCAGGATGAGATAGCAGGTACACAGAATCAGCATTGTGCTGGGCTTTAAACATAAGCCATGTCAACAGACAAACAGATACATCTCCAGCACGACTGACATTTCATACAAAATAAACAAAATAAGGCAAATTCATCATCTCAAGGGTGGTTTAGTCCATAATGTAAGACAAAAGCCAAAAAACAGGTTTAAAAAGCTGATATCCAAAACGATGTGCTCCTTTTTTGGAGAATCCCTGACTGTCAAGCATGGAAATGTGGTGAGGCTTGAAACACGCACAATTCTGCAAGAGATGGTTTCTCACAGCTGCCTTAAGAAGCTTATTCCAGATTAAAAGCAAGCTCAAATGAGCCCTGCTAAGCCAAATATGACAATGGTACTTCTATGAACAAACATCAGCATAACCCCTAAGGCTGTTAAATTAGTCACATGACAGCAATCCATCAACCAAACCATATGATTCCCGGGCAGGTCTATGAAAACATTAAGACCACCAAATGAAATGATGTGCTCTGCAGAACCCACTGAAAACTAAATGAAGAGGGAAAAATGAAGAGGAGCGAATACAACGTAAACCTTTCACATAAACATGCATACTGTGACCTAACTTGAAGCTGCTCTCTGGACTAACCCTCTAACCCAGATCAGAGTATGAATACACCTGAAAAAAACACACACACAAGAGCAGGCTATTCCACTGGATTACATCTGACCTGCTTTCATGAACATGTAGGGAATCAGTTTGCGTTTCGCCCATTGACTGTCAAATCACATAAGATGTTGATATGAAGAGAGCCTGGGGGACCACAAGCCACAAACAGGATCTAGAAAAGCAACTTACATATAATATTCAGGCTACACCATTCAGCATTCAGTGGTCACTAAAATGGTGTGCATATCAGAATTAGGGCTGTCAAAAAAAAAATAAAAAAATCGAATTTCGAATATTCGTCGAATTTAAAATAAAAATCCACGAATTTTAGGTGTGCGTTAAGGAGGCAGCCTTATCAGTGGTGCACGAGACGCGATGACGATGTAAGTGTCATTGCATTTTAATGCTTTTGTTAGCCTATCCAGTTGAACCCACTCGATGCGGCGCTGCTACGTTGTTCATTCAAAATATTGCGGGAAAAAAGAACATCAATGCGGAGATGATGTTGTTTATGTCAAAACCGAAACCAAACCGTTCACATAGAACGCATATTCATCACATTTTCTAGAGAGGCGTCTATCATCGTTGCACTCACGTCTCGCACAAGAGAGCCGCATGTTTAGAAAGCCATGGAAAAATAATGTAAGTTCAACTATTTAAAAACATGTCTCAAGACTTTATGGCGGGTTTTCCCCATCCTACTGCATCTCAAGTTTTTAAATGAAGAAAATACTCTTCGTGATTGGTTTTCGTTCCTTTGTATTAAACTATACATACATGCATGATTCTGTTTTGTTTCTAACTGTTTAAGCAACTTTAATTATATAAAGTTTATAAACATTATTTTAAACATTATGCACTTTTTTCAAAGATAGTCGTGTTATTTTATTATGCTTTGAAGAAACGTGCATAATATTTTGTTCGATGCGCCCTCTTGTGGCCTCAGGAGAGAAGCCAAAAGCTTTTTTCCTACCTAACTGAAATTATGCCTTTTAAATTTGAATATAATTTGAATATTGATAATATTTAAGTACAAAATTCAAATTTAGTTTTTCAGCCATTTTGACAGCCCTAATCTGAATTAAATATAAATAATGATGATTTTTATGCTGACTTTAAAAGAACATTTGCGACTGAAGTTAGCAAAGCTGTGCTATGGGCAAATAGTTGATTGCTGACCAGTTAACAAAAACCATGGCAACAAGCTAGCCACTCTATAACAGGTTAATCTTTAAGCTAAATTAACCTAACAACTAACAAACAACAATCCAGACGCATCCCGTAAACTAATGTTAAATGATTGAACATTCATGCATTTTATGTGGCTTAAGTTACAAGATGAAATTCAGGGTTTGACAAGAATGGATCCAGTGACTCAGAGCAAGTGCATGATGTAGATGAGGATTTGTTGAAATTCCAAGAGCGACTTAATACAATAGTTTGGTTCAAATTAGAGATAAATATAGACAAATATTAAATTAATAAACTTTTAAACTTACATACACAGAGACACACAGAACATGCAGGCTTCATATTTAAATAGTATTTTTGCGGCTTAATATTTAGATACTAGTCCATATCGCGACTCTAAGTGTATGGACCTACTTTTGATTAATTCATCCAAACTTTTACAAATTCCGTGACATTCCGCGTCATACAGTAAATTCCATTTATATGACTGGATTCCGCGATTCCGTCCACATTTCCTGAATCGCGGAAATCATAGATAACATTGAGGTGTTTTGCAACTTCAGTGTAACGTTAGTGGATTGTGATTTATTGCAAATTAAGCAATGTCTGCTGCTGCCTTACCTTTGAGAGACAACTGATGTGTGATCACTGAAGCAGCTCCAGTTAGCAAGCGCTTTCGGAGTGAGAGTGAATTCTGCATTGATTGGTCGGACTCGTGACTCCCAACAAATCAGATGAACGGTGGGCACAGAGACTGCTTTAGGCCACAGAGTGGTGAGTTCTGACAGGCTGCAGCAGAGCCAAATAGCGCGTTTCAAAATTAAGTTCTTTTATCAGCGAATCGGTTTTGAAAATGACCGATACCGATAATCGTAAAAATGCTTAATATCGGCCATGCCGATAATCAGTCGACCCCTAGTTTTAGGTAGGCTTGGTTGACTTAACTTTTATAAAGAATATCTCTTTGGATTTGAGACTTTAGTCTTTGCAACTTTACAGATCTTCTTTATGCACCAAGAGCTTGTAACACTCCAAAGAGAAAGGAAAAATTGAAATCGCATCATATGACCCCTTTAAACGACTGCACATTTACATTTAATGAGTCCTGAAATCCATCCTGCAATGTTGAGGTTTCAATCGTGTGGTGCCTCCTGCAGGTCTCTTTATAAATAACAAGCAGTTTTCTTCTGTGGACTGAATATCATCATCCAACAATGAGAAAGTATTTAGTAAATGAACGTAGCCAAAATCGTATTGTTTACATAATTTGAAGCGTTTGTCCTTTAAAAGGAGGAAGGTAAAGTAACACCTAACAAACAAAAAGATGCCACTTTATTCCTGTTTTCCTCTCATTGCAGATAAAGTGCAGTTCCCGTAAAAGCTCTCTTGAGCTAAATATATACTGTAGATAACTGTGAGCTGCACTGATCCTGCCTAGAGACAGAGCTGCATCAGATTCCCCTCAGCAAATATAACTTTATTTGCAACATAAGACAGCCTCATACGCATAAAAAAGTTGTTGTTTTATTTAGCCGCAAAACCAACATACATTTACCCCAAATTCAAACTCAAATCAAACAAATGCCCAAAGCTACATATTAACAATGTTAAAAAGCTCAAACTTTCCAGCTGAAGAAGATCATTCTGATTTTGCGAACCAATGCAAACGAACGACGTAACGTTACACTCGGAAGAAATTTGGAGTTCAAGGCAAGCCTCATTTTGTCCATTATGAATGTAGCATGATATTAATAAAAAATAATCAACACACTGAATTATGAGAAGGTAAGGCACAAATACACTGATAAATTGAGTCGGGTAGCTGAGTAGTTTTTTTTATACAAACAAGTTTTATAATAAGACATTGTGCACCAAGAACAATGGGAGTGACTGTGACATCTGTGGCTTTCAAATAAAAGCAAGAAAAAACACCTAAATAAAATGTGGTAGTTCATATAATTACAGACATAAGGAATAACTAAACAATATTCAAATTCACAACTAGCCAATGTAAAGTTACTCTGCTAATGTTAGCGCTTAACATTACCTTTGCTCGTCCGGCCTCTAATTTTCTCTGCCTTTCATCCTGATCCATTTCCTGGATCAAGGAATTTCATGGGAATGAAGGAAACACTCAAGGGGACGCCAGTCTGAAACTGTGTTTTTGTAAAACTCCTTAAACGAATTTTTCGCAATGTTTTGTGAGTTCAGAGATTTTCCTAAGGAGTAACTGTCAGTGTAATTTCAACATGGCCGCGAAGTGTGTTTGTCCCCGCCCTTATCGGATTGACAGTCTGCAAGAACCTATTAGAACAAAGGATGTGAACTTGCCAGCCAATGACATTTCTTGTTGCAGAAATACGCCTGCTCTTTTCAAAACGCCCTCCTTTAAATGCATTGGGCCTGAATGACCAATTAGAAAGCGTGTGCAAGCATGACCCTTTGATTGACAACTTCTACAGCCTATTGCGGAGCAGGATAGAGAGAAATGACATCCTACGTAGGCTCTGTATTTGTTGTGGTAGTCGTGTTTCCGATAGTGGTTGTGATTGACAAATGAAAGACGCGGGTAAAAGCCCGGGTGAATAAGTTTAACCAGTAACAACGGTTAGTTGTTTTCTTCACTAATAATATAAGGCAAAATTTCATAATTTGTAAATGTTATGCCAATTTAATGTAACACATTTTGATAATATAATATTATAAGTACGAAATAATAAACAGATTATAAAAATATAAATATAAGATAATAAATATAATCATTAACTTTTATTTGGAGTATAAAGGTATACAATACAAATATATACAATTATTTAGAAATATAAATTCCACATAAAAAGTAATAAGTATAATAATTATTTTATTAATTATCCCATATTTATGTTATATTATTCAAGACTACAAATAAAACATAATGCTTTTGTTTTTATTATTATTTTTTAGAATGCTCTACTATGGGTCCACCACAAACAAAAGAGCCTCTGTCTGGATTTCTAATGTAACTTAGCAACTTGAGGGTTGGGCAAAGAACTCTGCAACACAGAGATATGTTTTGACAACAGACAGGCTTCTACAGCAAACATGGACAATAATTAAATAACCGTATCTACAAAGTGTTTTTAAAATGGCAGACCCAGTGGTTGACCAAATGACAAGGCTCAGATTGAAAATGTTGGAAAAGGTAAGTTGGTTTAATGTGATATTTCTCAGTTATACATAACTGACATGATATATTAAACCTTTCCCTTTTGTTGACGACATACTATCATGAGACCAAACTTGTCAATTAAAAGATGTATTATATCATCTCTTTGCTCCTTTTTAGAGACTGGAGAATGAGAGAAATGACAACATTGAACGAGAAGGTTCAGCGTTTTCCACAAGTACACAGACAGTAGTTATTTTTATGAACTCCACTGTTGTTGTTTTTTTTGTTTTTTTAGAATTTTGAGAGTAGTTTAGGTACAATATACATGATTGAAATGATTTGTGTTTTGCCTCTCTGGCTGAAATTCTGTCCTGAAACAAAAAAAGTTTTCTATAGTAATCCTCTCAAAGGTTTATAAATAAAACCTATCATGGAATAAAAACAAAAACAGCTGAGCATGCCAAAAATGCAGAATACAACATATATGACTAATGTCTTATATTTTGATTCCACAGGAAGTTATGATGGGCAGGCAGATGCATTACACAGCGCTCTGAGACGGAAGAGAAACCTCCTACAGAGACTGAGGGTATGTTTCACAGAGATGATATTAAAAGCTTCTTTGCACATAAAGAGTATCTGTTTAGCTTTTTAAGATGATTAAACCAAAGGCAATCTTGAAGTGTCATGTAATAGTCAATAGAAATATTTTATCATGTAAATCACAAATATTAGTGTGCATTTGAGTATGTTTATATGCATTCACCAGGAACAGCATATGATGGAGGATCTGGGAAGGCCTCACACATGGGGTGGATCTCATAGGCAATATCATTATCAACCTCTTCTTGGGCCACTCCAACCTGTGCCTCCCATCCATATCCACCAAACTACACCACCTGCACCTCCACCTCCTCCTGCCCCTCAGCCCCCTCAAATCATTCAACACACCGTATGAAACGTTTTCTCACTTTTAGTTATACTGATTTAATCATACACAGAATATCTGCATTTACTATTCCAGTTCAGTTAAATAGCTTTATAGCTGTTCCAAAATATACAAGTACAGGTGCATCTCAATAAATTAGAATGTCATGGAAAAGTTCATATATTTCAGTAATTCAACTCAAATTGTGAAACTCGTGTATTAAATAAATTCAATGCACACAGACTGAAGTAGTTTAAGTCTTTAGTTCTTTTAATTGTGATGATTTTGGCTCACATTTAACAAAAACCCACCAATTCACTATCTCAACAAATTAGAATACTTCATAAGACCAATAAAAAAAACATTTTTAGTGAATTGTTGGCCTTTTTGAGTTGAATTACTGAAATAAATAAATTTTCCACGACATTCTAATTTATTGAGATGCACCTGTACATAACCAATTTGTGTTTGTAGAGTATGTGTCTGTTACAATGCTTTGTTGCAAGCACTCTTCTAATAACTTGTATTTCTCCTTCCACAAGGTTCCTCAACAGCCAGCCACCATTATCCAGCAATTACCACAGCAACAGCCTCTCATAGCACAAATCCCACCTCCACAAACCTTTCCCTACAGATCAGGAAGTATTAAAGAAGGTATACATCAAAAGCAGAAAAACGTTATTGTATACTAAGACGCAAAAACAAAAAATAATAGTGACATTTAGGACATTTAAAGCTGTACTTTCCAACGAAAGACTACTTACAAGATTATAAGATTATTGTTTAACAAATACACTACTGTTCAAATGTTTGGGACTGAAAGATTTAGTTTTTTATTTTCCAAGGGCAAATTATTTAGCAAGGACAAACAGATCAAAAGTGACAGTAAAGACATTTTATAATGTTACGCAAGACTTCTATTTCAAATGCTGTTCTTCACACTTTCTGTTCATCAAAGAATCCTAAAAAATACAAGTATAATAGATTTCTGAAGGATCAGGTGACTGAAGACTGGAGTAATGGATAAAAATATTATTTTTAAATAATACATATTTTATATATATTTTTATTTAGAATAAAATATAACAAAAAATACATGATTGATATATATATATATATATATATACAGTATCTCACAGAAGTGAGTA